TGTTGAATATATAGATCATTTTCCAAGCAAGATAAAACACTGAAACAGTTATTGAACATGTATGCATCTACCTTTGACTTTTTTTTTTTTAAAGATGTATTTATGTATGCATACAAAACTGGACACAGGCCAGAGGTGCAGGGGGTGGTGAGAGGATTCACCAGAGTTGGGAGCAAAACAGATTTACTGAAGTACACATCTGAGGGAGCAGCTGGCAAGACAGGAGAGGTCTGCTGTGCCATGTGGGTCACCTACCTGGCTAGGGGTCTAACTAACTCATGCCACAGTGGCTAGTGATAGCTTGATAGTGCTGAGACTTTAACCCCTATGCCACCAGAGAGGCCCAAAAGTTGCTTTAAAGTCTTACCTGATTGTAAGTATTTTGAGCATCTTGAAGTCAGTTTCCAGCAATTGTCTCTTTTGAGTAGTGTTTTCTCTCTTCTTGGTTTATGTAATATTTTTGGATCATATCAAAGATATAAATGATAGAATTCAGAGGCTCTTGATTCTATTGTTTTTCAATAAGTAACAATTAAAAATTTTTTGAGCAGATTATTCTGTCTTGACTCAATTTGTAATTTGTTTCCTCAGTGAGAGGAAGCAGCTGAAATCTGCTCTTGTGCATTCTGTTCATAAAATTTGTGCATATTGTTTAGCCTTAGTGTGTTGCTTGGAGCCTGCCCCATACAGAGAATAGGCAGAGTTTATACCCAGAATGTCAGTCTCTCCTCTTTGACTCTCTTCTGGGATTTGTTCTCTTTCTCTCTCCATCTTTATAACAGCTGTGCTTGCTCTAAACCTTTACCCCTGGTTTTCAGGGCAGTAAAAATGATGACCTTTGCTTATCAGTCGCCTCCTGCTGCACTCCGAGAGTGTATTTTACTCACTCTGCCTTTTCTGCTCCCAAAAAGCCTTAAAAGTAGGGATTCAGTCATGCTGCTCCTTTTTTCAAGTGTTGATCACCACCCTAGACTCCAGCTGTCTGCTTTTGGTAGTTCTCCAGTGGTTTTAGAGAATTGTTTAAAATTTTTTACTTATAATTTTTACCTACATGAAGATTGGTTTTGGGGAGTCTCCAAGACATTAGTATTTGATTAAAAGCAATAATCTGTAATAGATTGGGTGAAAAATCCTCAGATAATCAGAGATATGGGAGGCACAATCTTTCGAGACTTTGCATTAGTTTTCATAAGCAAGATCCCTGGAACTATCCTATTACTACCTCCCTGGTGGAGCAACAGGTTAAAGTGCAGCATTATGTAGCTATCTCAGCCACTGCAGCGTGAGTTCTCCATCCAGGGAGCTGACTCACATGGCATGGCAAACTTCTACTGGTATGTCCGTTGCTCCCCTCACTCTGCCTTTTCTGCTCCCCACTCTGTCTCTGGTGAGTCCTCACTCCCTGCACTTCTGGCCTGTACCCCAGTTCTGTATGCATAATTAAATAAATCTTAAAAAAAAAAAGAGTACAGGAGATTTGCGCTTTTTTTTTCACTATTTATTTGTCTATTTATATATATAGAACTGGGAGCAGACCAGTAGTGCAGGGACAGTGAGTGGATTCACAAGAGACAGAGTGGGGAGCAGAAAGGCAGAATGACGAAATACACTGCTGAGGGGAGCAGCGAGTGGGTCAGGAGAGGTCTGCTGCGCCATGTGGGTCACCTCTGGGGCCAGGAATTGAACTCTCACTGAAGTGGCTGCGGCCAGCTTGGCAGTGCTGCATCCTATACTGTTGCACCACCAGGAAAGGCCCGATTTGCTGTGTTTTTTAAAAATCTTTTAATCACCAGTCTCCCTGGTTATAAGTGGTTAAAAGTGGTTATATGTAACTAAGACTTTCACTTACTTGTTTTTTTAAGTAGATCTACTTCTGAGGAGAGGAGAAGTCCTGGCTTCATTCCAATGATTCCCTAATATAATCTGCAGTTATCAAACACATCTTACAGCAGTAAGACTCATTTTTCAATCAGACAATAGCAGAGCTGATCTTGAAGAAGCATCACTGGGGTGAAGAGTTCTACACTCTTGGGTACTCCTTGTACTCTGTCATTGAATAAACTTAAGATTATTTTAGTGTTTGCTTTCTTAGCCACTCCTCTATTTCATGTATAAATAATCCGTTTTGCTGGTTTATAATTCCCTATTCATAAACTCTACATATTAACTCTGCCTTCCTCTGTATGTTTAGTTCCCACAACATTGTAAATCAGCCCTGTAGCAAGCAGTCACAACACTCAAACAGCCACGGGGAGAATCTGATAGCAATAAAAGCAAGTGCTGAGAAAAAAATTCTTCTGAAAACTTTGAAAATTACACAAAACCCTTAAAATATATAAGCTATTTACATAGGCTTTATACTTGGCTATATGATAATCTAGTCCCCTTCTTTTTTTTCCCTAATAAAATGAGCTTTCCAATGAAATGCTTTATATATCAACTTTAAAAGCTACTACTTCTAGGCCCTCCTTGGTGGCGCAGCAGGTTAAAGCGCAGCACTGAGAAGCTGGCTGCAGCCGCTTCAGTGCAAGCTCCATCTCTGGCCAGGGAGTGACCCACATAGTGCAGCAGACCTCTCTTGTCTCTCCTGCTGCTCCCCTCAGCAGTGTGCTTCATCAATCTGCCTGTTCTGCTCCCCACGCTGGCTATGGTAAATACTCTCACTGCCCCTGTATCTCTGGCCTATACCCCAGTTCTGTATGCATTTTTTTTTTTAAAGCTTCTACTTCTAACATTTATTAGTCTATTGTACTTTTTCATTTTTTCCACTTTTCATCCACTTTTTCTTTTTTTAGTCTCTTCCCTCATACCAACCCTTTTTTATTTAATTTTTCCTTTCATATAATACAATTCTTTTTTCACCCAAACCTTTCTTCCACTATGATTTTCTCAACATGGCTTTCTCCTAGGTTTGACATCTACACAGAAGCTTCTTTAGGTTGACTTCATTCTGAGTCCATTCAGAACACATAAATGACTCCAAGACACAAGTCACTGCATATGTGCTGGGCGATCTAGGACAGGGAAAAGGAGATATTTAAGATCATTTCCATATTAAGTTCTTTATCAGGTAAATAATTCAGACACAGTGGTAAACATTTCAAATACCATTTTATTTAATCTTCAGAGCAATATGTTAGTCTTATCACTATTTTACTGGCTACAAAATGTAAGTAATTTGCAAAAGGTCACAAAATGAGCTAGTAATCAGCTCAGCTCAGTGGGGCTTCCACTATTCTGAGATATAAATTCTTCTCTGTGCCTGGCCTAGGTTTCTTCCTAATTCTTATTCTAAGTAAGATTTTTGCAATTTATAGTACAACTGCTATGGAAAACTGTTTGGAGGTTTCTCAAACTGCTAAACATGGAGCTTTCATATGACCCAGCAATCTCACTCCTAGGTATCTACCCAAAGACACAAAAACACTAATTCAAAAAGATACCTGCTCCCCCATGTTTATTAGAAAGACACAGAAACAACCCAAATGCCCGAAAGTAGATGACTAGATTAAAAGGATGTGGTACATATACACAATGGACTATCACTCAGCAACCAAAAACATAAACACATGCCTTTTGCAGCAACATGGATGGAACTGGAAAGGATCATGCTTAGTGAAATAAGCCAGAAAGAAAAGGAAAAATACCGGATGGTTTCTCTCATAGCAGGAGTATAAAGGACCAGGTGAGAAAATAATAATAACAATGAACAACTATATACCAGAGTCATTTTATGGGGGTGGAGTGGGGAATGGGATCAAAAACAGTAGGGGGACAGAGTGCATTGGACTATAGTGATGGCACATGGGTGATGTGATGATGGGAAGCCCACGGAAATCCAACTGAGATGGAAAAAAGGCACAAAATGATGTAAAATAAACCATTATATTACTAAAAAATTTAAAAAGAAAGATTTTTGCAGTTCAAGTCAAAGAACTTTCCTTTCAGCTTCTTTGACACTGGTAATGGGTTGAATTGTGTTTCTCCCCAAATACATATGTTGGAATTTTAATTGCTGGCATCTCTCATCACAAACTTGATTTGGAAATAGGATTGTTATAAATGTAATTAGCTAAAATGAGGTCATACTGGAGTATGGTAGGTTCTTCATCCAATACAGCTGGTATCCTTATGAAAAAGAAAAATTCGGATTCATAGACAGTCAGACAGACACACAGGGTGACATCATGGGGAGACAGAGTTGTTGCTGCCACAAGTCAAGGAACATCAAGCACGCTGCTAAATTTCCAGAGGTTGGGAGAAAGAAGGGAGCAGATTCTTCTTCAGGGCTTAGGACCAATTAACACTGCAAACCACTTCATGTGAGACTACCTGCCTTCTGATAACAATGCTTTGGGATTTTTTTTCCCCATCCCTTTGTGATACATTGTATGATAGTTCTACAAACTAAAACAACACCTTCAACTAGCTAGATGATTCAGAAATTCAAATTTCTCTGTTTAATACTGCTGTATTCTCCTTCTTGGTCTATGCAGTTGTTTAATACAGTGAGATAGAAACAGTCATATCATTGCCAGAGGAGATACTCAAAAAGTTACCTTTGATTCTCAGTGATCTTATTTCCACATTTGGACTATTATCCAAGTGGTAGAAGGGTGAGAAGCATAAGTTTTAGATTCCACTGGGTTTAAGTACCAGGTTCCACATTTACTAGCTGTGTGATTTTTTAAAAAGATTTATTTATTCATGCATACAGAACTGGGGTACAGGCCAGAGGTGCTCCCACTAGCTGTGTGATTTTGAGCAACTTTCTAAGTCTTAGGTTCCTCTTTTGTTAAATGAGGCTAATGACTCTACCAGATAGGGTCTCGATCATCAAAGAAGAAAATCTGATAATTTCACATACTGACATATAGAAGATGCTAAATGAAATTGCCTATTACTATAATTATTGTTTCTAAAATAAACATCAGAATTTGTTCCTCATATGTAGCTCAGATGCATATTTATATGTTCGAATTATAATTTGCGGGTATGTATAGACTTTAACTTCTTTTTGCTTTGTTTTCCACCTTTGGCAAAATCTGAAGTTTATGTGTGTGGACTAGGAGAATGTACATTAATGAATGTGTCCTTGAAGCAACAATGTGTCCTTTAACTTTCTAGCATTACTTGTTATAATAGGGACTTCAGAAAAAAAAGTATAATTTAAAGGAGGGAGATTTGGAAATGACAGGACAAGCACTCAGCAACCTGGAATGTTAAGGCTCATGATATTTGAATTTACAGAAAAGATGATGAGCTATCAGAAAGGAGAAACCAAGTCAGAGATGATTGGTGCTACACTAGAAACAAGAGCATAGGCTAAAATCTAGTTAGTCATGTTTCCTCTGTATAAAATCTATAATTTGGCAATAGTCAATTTCTCCAATCTTTACCAAATTCCTTGCCTCATCCTTAAAATTTGTTTTTTTTGGGGGGGGGGTTGGGGATGGAGGGAGAAAGGGGGCTAGAAACTCATTTGCTTAGTATAGTAACTGAAAAGAAATTTGCTCAAACACTATATTTACCACGTGTTAAGGTAACTTCCAAAAAAGACTAGGAGGCAGCCGTTGCCCCTGACCTTACTCTTTCCTGCATTTACATTACCTTCTTTCCTCCTATCTTCTAAGTTTGAAATTTTTTTTAAAAGCCCGATTTAAAAACTGACACAAGCCTCTTACCGCCCCACGTTATTCTCACTCTAGTTCTCTTACCACTTTTATACCTTCCCCGTGGCTTTTACGTTTTAAAATCTTGACTCAAAGATTAATCCTACCACAAACATGAGAACATCCGATATGTCAGCTTCATAAACTGTAGTTTTTTAAATAAATTGAAAGCTCAAAGTTAAATGAACAGCTAATTAGGTGTACAACTCTTTTAGATAACTTATGCATAGATGGAAGCAGTTTTAGTATTTTAAACTGAAAATTTGGAAGCATCTGAAAAGCTAAAATGAACTATACCAATTTCTTAAAATACTCTGTTCTGGTCCATTTCACTTTGCGTTCTAGCCTGTTGCCAATTTTTGTTTTGTTCACAGCACCGGAATCTGACATTATCCGTCCCTACTCGCTGTTCTGTCTCCACAGTGCTCACTTTCATTAAGGGTGAAATAATTGCTGAATGGCTTGGCGACTTGTCAGGAGAGGAAGTTAAAACAAAAGGAAAATGAACGTACTGACTATTTTCGTCTGTATCTCAAATATTTGGGACGGGGGGGAGGGGAATGGAAAAATGGTCACGAAAGGCAAATATCAAATTTTGCTTCCCGGGAGCCAGGTATAGAGGTCCACTAACTCCGCTTGGATGGACAGAGAACACCGGATTTCGCAAGGGCTGCGTTTTCATCTCTATCACCCCAGATCCGTCGCCGTCAGGTACACTGCATTTGTTTCAATTCATTAAAAACCGACTGCATTTAGGAATCGTAACCAACCCCCTGCCTGGAGGGTCCACTTACCCAACACATTGCTGGGACAGTGGAATTTGCGAAGTGCCCCCGGGGTGAAAACGTGTTGACATATTGCCACGAGGTTCACCCACGGAATGATACATTGACAGATATTTATAGAGACCTCGAGAAGGGTGAGAAGGAACGGCCAGGAAGGGTTACTTAGCGTGGTCCACAAGAAACCACAATATTGTTTGCCAAGGGTTAAAACGGGCGCTCAGAGGCAGCCATGGTGGTTCCCGCGGCCCTCGGAAACACGCGGACTTTCGCGCCGGCCCTTGCCGCGCTCCGTAGAAGGGTCCTCTGGGCCTCCGCAGGCCACGGCCCCGGCCAGGAGGCCCGGTGCGAGGCTGTCCGCGCTGCTGCCTGCTGCGCGTTCGAAACGCCCGCCGCCGCGTCAGATGTCTCGCAGCACCCAAGTCTCAAGACTACTTCAATCCGGAAGTAGAAATCCTCGAGCCCGGCACTACCAGAGCCACCTCTTTTCCTAGGACGGCCGCACATGCGCACAGCGGTCCTGGCAAGCCCTTAAATACCATCATGCGGGCGCGTGCGGCCTCTTTCCCTGCCGCCGCCGAGTCGCGCGGAGGCGGAGGCTCGGGGTGAGTTCAATCGGGCAGGATCGTGGTATCTGCTCTTGCTATTGTGTGTTCTGGTTGGGCTTGTCAGTGTGTGGATTTAGTTCGAACCTTTTGATTAATCGGAAGCTTTGTGTTTTGGATTACAGTGCATTCAAGATTCGGCTCCACCCGTAACCCACCGCCATGGCCGAGGAAGGGTGAGCAGCACAGGGCCGGGGCTGTGCGGGTAACGCGTGGGCCGCGAGCCTGTGGCGCGCGCTCTGGGTCAGCCAGGGCCTTGATGCCCTCCCACCCCCGACATCTTAAAAATGAACGTCAGGTCCGAGGCCCGAGCTTAAAAGGGCTCGCGAGGGATTTACTGATGTTTTTTTTCTTGCTGGTTTTAGCATTGCTGCTGGAGGTGTAATGGACGTTAATACTGCTTTGCAAGAGGTGCTGAAGACCGCCCTCATTCACGATGGCCTAGCACGTGGAATTCGTGAAGCCGCCAAAGCCTTAGACAAGTACGTGTGTCAGTCTCAATACTGTGGGTTGTTGCAGCCGGAACAAAGCCGCAACCAAGGGAAGAAAGCGTGAAGTTCATGGTGTTAGTCCAAAAGTTCTGAATGGCAGCCGTTCTACAGGAAGCCTAGGAAAAGGTATCAGAACTCAGACCTGTGGAACCCACACAGTTTGCTTTGGTGTGGAGTGGGGATAAGCACTCGATTCTAACCCATGTGAAAGCCGCAGTGTTTGAATGATGACTTTGTATTGTCGGATACCCCTTCACTCCTTTTATGAGTGAAATCGTGCGGTCTGACAAACCTGTGGTTGTGGGCCTAATGCCTCACCTAGGACAAACAACCTTTGATTTAGTGTTTGTGAATTGAAGCTGGGTCACTCCAGGAGTTTTAATGTATAAGCTGGGGTTTTAGACTATTTGTGGGTAGTTGTAAATAATCTCCAGACTGGGAATGGTACTGGTTACATTGGCAAAACCACGTGAGTTGAGCTGTATGTAAGCACGTAAGGGGTTTCTAAGCCACACAAGTGAAAGTCGGCTCTAGCATGGTGTAGACTGGCTAGGTGAATGTAGTGAGAACTGTACTACTTGGCGGTTCATCAAGTCATAGATGAAACCCTGTACTACCATACCTTACCATTAATGTTACTGCACAGTGTGAATTAAACATCTAATAGCTCGAATTAGTGTAAGGTGTACCTCACAATAAGTATTTTTATGTGTTGAAGACTTGATGGCTCTGTAAAAGAATAGATGAATTTATGTGTCTTAAGTTAGGTTGTCAAATAGTTGCTTTTGCATGCTGCAGTTGCTTGCATACTTCAGTGTGGTCCTTGGTTTTGCCATTGTAGCCAGAGCAAAGATAAGCTCCCTTGGTGAATGAAGTGGGCGTAGCTCTCAATTGTAAGTTGTGTTGGGTTTTGCTTTTCAGGCGCCAAGCCCATCTTTGTGTGCTTGCATCCAACTGTGATGAGCCCATGTATGTCAAGTTGGTGGAGGCTCTCTGTGCGGAACACCAAATCAACTTGATTAAGGTATGTTTCTCACCTAACTTGATTTATGTGAATTTGAGCTAATTTAGCTAGTTAAATATTGGCCCAGTTAATTCTCACCTTGGTATAGAACAAAAAAAAAAGGCAGTGTGCAGAGTGCTTACATTATCTTGGTGCTGTGCATGATGACAACTGGCTCCCTCTACTGAATCGCTGTGAGGAAACTGCCAGTGTCACCCTATCTGACTACAGCTACCTTTGAGCATCAGTTTGTTTTTGCTGCTCATGTAACTACATCTACTAATTTAGAAATTTTTGTTTGCTTTATTCCTCCACAATAGGTTGATGACAACAAAAAACTTGGTGAATGGGTGGGCCTCTGTAAAATTGACAGAGAGGGGAAGCCCCGTAAAGTGGTTGGCTGCAGTTGTGTGGTAGTTAAGGTAAGTTAGTTTATCTCTGGGTTGAGTTATTTTGGGTAATCATGTATGTAAACCTGTATTGAGTCTTGTTAAATAAGAAAATGAGCCATAACTATGCCAGTTGGTTACTCTGCTTACCTGGGTGTGTTTGCAGAATTGTAGAAAAAGCTGGCAATAGCACAGCCATGTTACGAGCCTTAAAGACACTGAAGTCATTAAGGTCCCTGAAAGTGGCTACAAGAAATTTTAATGATGAGAATGCCTTCTAAGACATGCTGTAGTGCTTTAAGATCTTTGCTAGCAATTTAGAGTTTATAAATGTAACTAAGTCTAGCATATGTGTTTTATTTTCAGGACTATGGCAAAGAATCTCAGGCCAAGGATGTCATTGAGGAATACTTCAAATGTAAAAAATGAGCAAATAAAGTATTTGGCTAAATCATCTCGGCTTTTAATTTGGGGCAGTAAAATAGTGATTGCAGTGAAAAGTAATTGCTAAAATAACCTTGTACTTGAACAGTGAGTGGATTAAGGCAGAAACATTGCAGGGGAAAATATGGAAATGGGGGGATAGGGTTGGGTTTAGGTTGTGTACTACATGGGGGGATAGGGTTGGGTTTAGGTTGTGTACTACATGGCAATTTGACCACCACTGTTAATGGACAGAACTTTGGAAAGGTCATTGTGTCTTTAACAGAAGTGCTAAAAAGCAAAGATGTGCTTAGTTTCCATATGCCTTAATGTGTAAATGTAGGAAGAATGGTAAACCCATGTATATCAAGCAAGAATCAAGTTAGGTATGTTGAAATGAGTGAAATACTAAGGCAAGGAAGTCCTTTTTGTGTCCCTGTTGAGCCACCAGCAGAGGTTTTCATTGTAATCCTGTGGACTATAGGTGGCATTTTAAAGCAGAACTTAAGATCTAATTTTTAGTGCTCAGTTGGATCACTATTGACATTTGGGAAATTGGAGGCTGAGAGCCTTAATCAAACTTTATCAAAGCCTCTAAAGTTCAATAATTCAATTTTTCCCTTTTTTTTAAGCTATGACAAGTATTGAAAATCAAGTGTGTACTATGTCAAGTTCACTAAAGTACAATTCTATTGACCAATCTTTCACCTGAAGGCTGATTATCCTCACATGTCTCTAGTGTATCACAGGGCCTCACACTGTTTCTAGAGCATACAGTGTAGCCATGCTTCACTGGACATGCCATTTGAAGCTTATCAGAGGTTCTTGTGGTTTCAAAATCTTAGCGCCTTTGGCTTGATTTGGACTATCCATCTCTACAGTGAAGTACTACAATGCACTTTGCAAGTTTTGTATACCTCAAGGTAAATAGATTTTTTGTTAGAAGGAAGGGAAACAATTGAGCATTGGTAGATAGCATGTACAGAGTTTACAATTCTGTGTTCCTACCAACTGACCAAGCTGGGGGAGACCTTGGCCATCTGCTGAAAGCTATCAAAGACTAACCTCACAAGTGTCAGGTACATTTTGCTTTTAGAAATCTTTTTACCTCTAGCAATCATCCCAACCTTAATAGTAAGCAAACCTAGCTTTATGGATTTGATTATTTAGCTTGTACGAGTCAGGAGGGATTCCTGAATTACTGAAGTGTCAGGGCAAAAGCAATGGTTTCCTTTTTTTTTTTTTAAAGATTTATTTATGCATACAGAACTGGGGTACAGCCAGAGGCTCAGGGGCGGTGAGAAGCGTCACCAGAGACAGAGTGGGGAGCAGAACAGGCAGATCAACGAAGTACACTGCTGCTGAGGGGAGCAGCGGGCGGTCAGGAGAGGTCTGCCACGCCATGTGGTCACCTCCAGGGCAGGCGGGAATCGAACTCATGCGGAAGCAGCTTTTAGATTCTCAGTGCTGTGCTTTAACCCGTTGCGCCACCAGGGAGGGCCATGGTTTCCTTTTAATTGGGGAAAATAATTACCCTGAACAGGGCAACTCCTTCACTCCAAGTAGGCTGTTTAAGATAATCCCTGGTAGCTCATCTCTTGTTCTAAGGGTCAGTAAAACATGCACCACTTTTTTTTTTTTTTTTGGCCTGTAAGTCACCTGGGTAAAAAAAAAAAAACTTGAACTTTAGTTTTCACCAGGTCCATTTATTTACTAAAGTTTCTATTTGGTATATAAGCATTTTGAAATGCTTTCAATCAGGACTTCAAACGGGAATAAAAAGACTAACTGGGTTGTAATGGACCATAATAGGCATGGGTGCTATAAATACTCGAACTGTAGAAACAACTTACTAGGCTCAATTGAAGACTTGTGTAGCTCCTTGGATGTTTGGGTTTTAAAAGTATTTTTAAATGAATATGTATAGCTGGGCTCAAGGTGTAAAGCACCAGCAAGTTAAGAAATGCTTTCAATGCACAACACCCATTGAGGAGAAAGGGGAGGGTATTTAGCCAAACAGAAGAGAGAATCAATTATCAGCATTTCTGAGAAGACAAACCTGACCAGGGCCTTCCAGGCCTGGTTCTCACTAGAAAGGCCATCACAAGCCAGACAAACTTTCCAGTAGTGCCAGCAAGACAGGACGACCTGGGAGGTGTAAGA